TAGTGCATGAGGGACGATTTCACGACGAGCTCATCGTGGACGACCCCGTACAATCCGAAGCCAGGGTCACTTTGATCATTGAAGGCGTAGGCAAAGTAACCTTGGAGGTTCACCCCGTCCAGCAGGTGAGCTGAAAGAGTGGACACAGTGTTCGGTGAGTCAATAACCTGAGGTGTGGTATACATTTTTCTCAGTTATTGTACTAAATTTTGTTATTATGGTTGTCTGCTCCTCTTATTTGTGATTTTTGTGAACCTGTTCCAGATTTTGTTATCAGAACAACTCCAATAAAACATATTTCTTGATTGAGAGGATGTGTAAGGATTGAAGCAGACTAACAGGATTTATTATTTGTTCTGCCTTGACACATAAGGTATTTATTACAACTCTGGTCCTATACTAATTCAGCAACTTTTTTTATTTATTTCAGCTATCAGTCCATTCTCTAACCACTTCTTCTAATTCAGGGTCACCGAGGAACTGAAGCCTACACCAGCAAGCAATGGGCACAAGCCAGAGAACAACCTGGACGGGACACCAGTCCATCGCAGGGTACACACAGCCAGAGACACACACACACTCACACTGGGGCAAATTTTTCCGGAAGCCAATTAACCTACCAGTAAGTTTTTGGACAGTGGGAGGAAAAAGGAGCACCTAGAGGAAACCCATGCAAACATAGGGACACCGTACAAAATCCACGCAGACAGCACCCCAGGGCCACAGCACTGAGAGATAGTAATGCTAACCACTGGGTCACTGCTCTGTCCAATAGCAGTTATATTTAGGTAATAATGAAAAACAAATAATCAAATAAAAAACAAGAAGCTAAGCCATGACACAATGCAGTAGGGATGTTAACCCCAGAATCTGGCCTGTCCAAACCCCTTAATTCAATTATTCCTCAGTTCTCCACCTGATTTGCTGTACAGTGTGGCTGTTTGTGCCTAACAGCCATGCTACATGCCATCTAAGTGGGTGCTGCACTTCAGTTTGGGATGAATTGCCACCTGTCCTATATATGAAGCACTCTGGCATTTATATACCACTTTTCGTCCCAAAGGATTACAGTGCTTAGTAACTATTACAATCAAGGAAGATCCTGCAGTCCTAGCAGACAACGCGTAAGGGTTTATAGCGCCATCTCCTGGAAGATGCTGGAACTCATTTGCTATTTATGTACTGTCGTACACTTGAGGTAATGACCATCATGTTTATGAGCCATAGCTTTGCAACGGAGCATTACAGTCATACCATACTTCACAAAAATTAATTTTACAGTCCTATCATTTTATATATAAGTTACAAGCAAGGATCCCATGATTAACAGAAAAATGAAAACTTAAAAATGGAAATATCCCAAACACGTTTGTTTATAAACTGCATTTGGTCCCATTTTCTTTTGTCAGTTCCATTGCGTAGTTCTGTGGTTTTCTTCTAAAGAAACATTGTACAGTAGATCCTGTTAGGAAGGTGAATAGCAGGGACTTCAAAAGCTTCAGGTCCCCAAAGAAACCGTGCAGGTTCGTGAGAGTCCACTCTTGGCAAGCACGTCAAACAGCTTAATGATTAAGTTGTACTTTAGGGACGTTTGTGTTTTCCGTTCAAGCAGGAATGTGCAGGTTAGCTACTGGAAAGAGTCAGAGCCCCAAAGCAAATTATAAA